CTCTCGAGGCCCCCCCAACTCTCGAGTGCCGCTTCTTGGCATGCGCGTGCGCAGCGGCAATTTGATGAAATGCATATGAAATCAAAAGTGAATTTCGAGATGAACTCCGCTGTCGTCCACTAGCTGGCAAGGGGGCAGAGGAAACACTCTACTGTCCGCTGTGGTGAAGGGGGAAAAGCACTCCACTGTCCCGCGCTGCATGGCATGAAGGGGAGAATCCAGCAGACAGAGACAGACAGAGAGAGTGCAGGACGACTAATTAGCCCAGTCACGCAGTGAATGGAGAATCCCATATGAATATTCATATATATAAAGAGACTTATATATATTTAATGCCACGCGCGCGTCGTCTAGGCACAGATCCTGCTGGAATGTGCCGCCGCCAGCGGTTGGTTCGCTCTCCGCCAATTAACTGTCGTAAATTTCATTATAAAAGCTGCAATCCGGACGAGTCCGCAGATCTGTTGGCAGCCACAGCACTGTGAAGATAATTTAAATTACCTTGAGACTCCGCACAGAAGCGGAGGCCGTGCTGAAGTTGAAGTCACAGACAGCCGCTAGAAGCGCTTTGGCAATGGCCCCCACAGAGCACGGCATAGCAAAATATTATAAATTAAATATGCACAATATTTATGGGCACTATGTAGCATTCCCTGTCTATAAATCACTTATTTTGGCTCGCGAAAAATTGCTTTCTGCCATAGAATAGCATAGTATAGCAGACATGGTAAATTCATCTTTATTGTTGCATAATTTGTAAGCCATTATAGCGGACATATCTAACGCAGAAAATGATTCAAGTAATTTTATTTAATTTACAAAATATAATTTTCTATGTTTTGAGCTGCTTGAATTATTTATTTTTGGATAAACATTTCCTGTGCTAATTCCCTTTCGAGTCCCATTCGACCAATCCACCAGTCATCTTTTCTTTTCTTTTCCTGAGAAGATCAAGCGAAAGTTTACCACCGCCCGTTGGCCCATTTCTGTGGGTTTTTGCTCCATTTGTTTGTTTGGTTTTGTGGCAATTAAAGTAAGGTGCTCCATCCTGGCCAGGGCCCCCCCAGCCACCTAGCGGGCAACTCCTCACGAGTCTATAATTAAGGAAGAAGAACGCTTTTGATGAATGCCGGACGCCGCATTTAAGGTAATTAATTTAAATAATTCGCCAAAGTGAAAGCCCCGCGGTCAAATTGAGACATTTTGTGGGGGTAATTAAGCCATTGACCAAAGCTGCAGCTACAGCTCCGCCAGGGGAGAAATTAACTCTCCCTTTTCGCTCTGTTGGGCACAGAATTTATTGGAATTTTTTATTTGTATTATACTTGATATAATTTTGGTTATGGTTGTGTTCCCTGGCACTTCTTTCATAATTTCTAATGACCCTCAATTGGTGTGCGGTAATCCCCTCTGGGGCCGCTCTTTGCCCTACATTTTTGAGCTACTTTCGAGCAGTACGAGAGTATGAGAGTAGCAGAGTATCATTATCATTTCAGCTGCTTTGTCAATTTATAATCAGCTTAACTAATAAAAACCTACAATTCAATTTAGATGCTCAGAGGATGAGGCATACAGCATGCAGCTTACGCAACACGCAATTGTCTGGGTCCCCTCTCTGTCCACTGTCCCCTGTTCACGTAACTCCCTTGTTCCCTTGTCTAGTTTTTTTTTTTTTGATGGAATTCGGGTTTGGTGGGCGTTTTAATTGCTCGGTGCTCGGGGGTGATCGGTGGGAATCCAGAATCCAGAAACTGTAACAATGAGCAGAGAATGCGAGTAGAATGGAAACATTTAACGATTGTTTCTGCGACAAGTGCTCCTTTGTTGAGGGTTCTCTCTGTGTCTGTGTCTGTCTGTGTGTGTGTGCGAGTGCACTTGTACATGCGAGTATTTCGCAAGAAGTTACATAACATAACACGCGATCGGAATTAGCTCTCCCTCGCTCTCCCTTACTCTGCCTTATGGTCTCCCTTACGCTCTCCCTTACGCTCTCCCTTACACTCCTCCTTACGCTCCCCCGCTCTGGCTGAGACATCTCTACAATGCATTTGTCGGCACTTGTGCTGTCATCTCGCTGGGAGCACGCCCCTCATTTGAGTGCGGGCCGTAGATGGCGTAGACATAGCCACTGGGGATATCGGTGCGAATATCTCTAATTGCAATGCGGTCGAAATGCGTTCGGATTCTGTCTGGCATACTGTCCGCACCTCTGCCCCCACCCCCCCACTCTTTTGCTCTCTTTCTGTGGCTGTGTCTCGCTGGGCGAAATCGTGGAAAGATGTCAGGGACGAACATAAATTACATTATTCTTTGTCAACATTTGTGAGTCAAAAACGCGTTCATGTTAAACAAATAACTCACTTGCTGCCCGTTCGGCGTTCGGCGTTCGCTCTCCTCTCTGCAGAGGCCCTCTCCTTGATGTTGATGTTATTTACGAGACATCAGTCAGCTTCAGACTGGGGTGTCTGGGGCCATGGGGGCCATGGGGCCGCGAGAGGTTGGCTGTGTGGCGTGTTGTAATAAGAGCATCCTTAATAAATCATAAATTTATTCGCCCAGAGGCCGAACGCCGATCCGGCCGATCGCCAGTCTGCCCTGCTCTGCCCTGCCCTGTCGTTCGCTCTGCCATTCGCTCTGCCGCAGTTGCATGTAAAGAGAGTTGCACAAAATTCACAACAACAGCAACAAAATATACATACAGATACGTACGTACTTGCACTCGTGTGTATATAAATGAGAGCCAAGGACCCCGAGGGGCAGCAGATTCTGGGCCTGGGGCCTGGCATCGATCGGTTCGGTTCGGATCGGATCGCTACATATTTCTGCATATATTTTGGTTGCTCCCTCTGAACTCCTTGGCCCGTCCGCCCGTCGCTGCTGGGCTCCCTTTGGGCCATGTCAAACGTATTATTAACTTCACACAAAAAGCGTTCGATTTTGCACCGTTTGCTGTCGCCGGACACTGTCGTATGTCGTCCAATGGGACCGCCACCAGAGAGGATCGTATCGGATCGGCTCTGCAACGGAATTGTACTTGGCCCCCATCTGCAGATCAGTCTCTGTCTCTGTCTCAGTTTCAGTCTGTTAATATACAATGCAAAAACAGGAAAAACGCCGGAAATAATAATTCGATAAATGCGCCATGAAGAGGGACCCAGACCAAGACCAAGACCAAGATCAAGACCAAGAACCGTTCGAGTGAGCGTTCTGTGCTGTGCTGTTCTGTTCTGTGGCGAATCCATGGAGAATCGAATCCGTGCCCATTATCGTGGCAGCGATTGACGGAAGTGCGTATCCCAATTCATTTATCTATTAATGAGCTTCAGTTGGTTGAAGCTCCTCCAGGCAGGAAATGCGCGTGGGAGTCGCCCATTGCAGCGGATGTGCTGCTGGCGTACAGTTCGTCGGAGCTGGGAGCTGGAGCTGAAGCTGGAGCTGGAGCTGGACCTGCATCTCGACTGTCGCTGTTTCGGTTGGCATCCGCTATCTGTGCCAATGCCATCGCAGGGCATTTCATTGGCCCCAACAGCAGCTTCCGTTGCTGCCCAACAGAGCTCCATTCTCCGTGTCCCTGTTACTGTCCCCTTTCCCCTGTCGCTGGGTTCCTTTGTCGGGGGCGATCTGAACAATTGCCGACTGGTGTCCACAGATCGTTGTGTGCCCATGTCTTGCCCATCTCTACACTGGGCGCACGATCTAGTTATTAACTGCGCAAAAATAAATACACTCATTGCTAGAGAGAGACAAACTATTAAATCCAGCAAAAGTATTCCACAGAATCAATCAAAATTATTAACAGATTAAATTGAAATTAAATTAATTAAATTAAATTCGCATTGATATTTTCTGCCAGTGTACATCGCTCTGGCTGTTGTTTCATGTTTTGCATACATTGCGCGAATAACTCAAAATTAGTTCAGCCGCAACAGAAGCAGCAGGATGGCAGAACGCGCCGCGGACCCTGGGAGACAATTCGCGGATCAATCGATCGATCGATCGATCGCTTGGAATTGTCGGCATCCCGCCTCTGATTAACTCTGCTCGACCCTGACCATATGCAAAAATGCAGCAAGTAAATTACTTTACTTTACTTAACTTAACTTTGCTTTGCTTTGCTTTGCTTTGCTCTCAAATAAGTGCATCTGTAAGCTGACAAATTGTTTGCATAATTTACGGTCGATCTCTAGGGAATTTAACGGTACAAGCTTGCATGTTATTGGATCAGATAACTTGCACTGCACCAAAATAATAATCAATAAATTATTTTACTCTTTGGGGGAATTTTTTGGCGAGTGTGCGAGTGTGCGTTCAGTGGAATTTGTGCGAAAAATTTGAGCCAGAAAAGTGATTTTTTATTAGATCTTTCCAGTCTCCAATGTGAATTAAACTACCAAAAAATATCTTAGAGCACTTCCCAAATTAAAAAAAAAAATGTTCCCTGTTCTCTTTAATCTGAATAATTTCCCAGCTTGAGCCAACTTCTTCAATCTAAAATCTTCCACCTTTTCCTTAACGCTGAGAGCTGTAACAAATTTCTGTAGCAGCCTCTTTCAATTTTCTTGTAACAGATCATCAGTTCCATAATTTCATAAATGGCCAAGTTCCTTCCAGCTTCCAGCAGTAGTTTGCTGCTGATTAAATTTGAGCTGCCCCCCGACCCATTGAGTAGTCTTGCATTAATTTAGTTTTTAAATATTATCAGTTTAATGTCCTCCATGTTTGTTTGTTATATATAGAAAAAAAAAAAGATTCTTAATTGTAAATTGTCTTCCATTATGAGCTAGATCTTAGGGTTGGAACAGTCTTACGAACTGTATGATAGCCAGGCACATTCAGCGCTCTTAGGACTAGTTTGTACAGACAAAAAAAAAAAGGGAATGCTCTGAGTGTGCCTGGCCGGAGAATACTTTGCTGGTGCGAGAGGTATATGATACTTGGCGGGCCAATCAATGGTTCGTTGTGTGGTTGCGACTAGCGGTGGTTCGCACATGGCAGTGGTGTGGTGTGGCTTAAAGATCATCTTGCCAGAGCGAGATGTAGTCGAGGATGTCCTCATCCTCGGTGCCGGAGCTGCAGGAATTGTTGCGGTAGTCCTCGTAGCTGGACTCCAGCTTCGTTGTGACTTCGGTTGGCGGCTGCACCAAATTGGCTGCAGCACTGTAATAGGAGGAGCTGTGACTGTGGCTGTGGCTGTTGCTGTGGCTGTTGCTGCTGCTGTGGCTGTTGCTGCTGCTGTTGCTGTGGCTACTGTTGCAGGAGCTGACGCTGCCGGTGGGAGAGCTGAGCTGCAGTTGCTGCTGGAGGGCGTACAACTGCTGCTGCTGCTGCTGCTGCTGCTGCTGTTGCTGCTGCTGCAGTTGCAAGTTCTGCTGCTGGAAGAGCATATGCTGCTGCTGCTGCACATGCTGATGATGGTGATGATGATGATGATGCTGCTGCTGCTGCTGCCGATCCTGCTGCTTGTGATCATTCTCATCGATGACCTTCTGCAGCCGGCGTATGTACTCGACGGCCATGCGCAGTGTGCTGACCTTGCTCAGCTTCTTGTTGGCACCCGGCCCAATGCCACGGCGACCGTTGCTCAGATCGGCGATCACGGCCACGGGTATGTGCTGCCGGAGCTGGCTGAAGCCGTTGTTGACCTGCTTGACCCGGTTGCGCTCCCGGGCATTGCGACGCACCACCGAGGCGCCGCCGATCTCCATCGACTGCTCGAAATCATCGTACTGATCATAGCCGAACATATCTTGACTTGAGTTTTCGCTGTCCAGTGCCATGGCTGATAGATGGATGGATGGACGGATGAATAGAGGGGATGGATGGCTTGCAGTTGATGAGTGTAGACTGGTGACTGGGTCTTCCCTGCGAGCGCTGGCTCTGTTCTGATGCCCTTCCCCGGTCCGCTCGGGCTATTTATAGGGGCCCGGGCCCCGGTCTGGCCAAAGATCTCACCTGCAGAGTCGGCTACCTGCGCGTGCGCGCGCGCCTGCACACACAGCAAAGGCAAGCAAAGGTGCAAAAAGGTGCAGCATCAATGTGGCTCAACTCAAGGATCGCTCAATCCGAACCGCACTCCGCACTACACTCTCCACTCCACTCAATCACTCAGCGAGACTCTCTCTCTCTCTCAAACGAGTGAGGTAGTTTCCGCTCTGGGATCTCTGCTGCTGCTGCTGCAGCTGCCTCTTCCTTTGAGTGTTCCCAGCGCCTGAGAACACTTTGCTTCGGCGTCTTGGGCTCTTTTTTACAGCTGCCTGTCTGCTGCCCTGCAGCCCCAAACTGGGGCTCCGATCGGGCCTGACTCTGGCCTGGCTCTGTCTCTGGGACTGTCGCGTGCCGGCTGCCAACCGGTTTCATGGATGTTTTCCCCAGTCCACAGTGCCGTCCCCAGTTTGCAGTCCGATTCCCCTCTGCTCCCACAGTCGCTGAGTCGTGTGCAGCCGCCTAATGAAAGTGGAGACCAACTTTTATGGCCGTAATAGTTGAGCCACAATAAATCAAGGGCGGAGGAGGAACAGGCAGTGGCAGTGGCAGCGGGTAGAGTTAGTTAAAATAGAAGATCCACAGCTCAAGGTCTCGTCAACACCTCAAACAGTGATCCATCCGATCCCCTGATGCTGATCCTGATCCTGTTCAGCCGGAGGCAATATTCTATTAGCACTTTCCTAATGCCCCGCGGTCCTTTATGCCCATCGTACAACCCGTCGAGCCAAGGACGCTGCCGATGGGGAGGCCATGGACCGTAGATCGAACTCGAAAGCATTTTGAAAGCATTTAGAGAACTGGAAGGAGGGCAGGGCACATATTTTTGTATTGTTGCCCGCACTGGGATGCTGCTGCTAGCCTCTCTGCTGGATGATGCTTCCATTGTGCCGCCAGGACATTCCCAGTTTTACATTTTGTGCATTTTGTGCATTTCCCATTCTGGTTGCACGCTAGACAACCGTGCCGAAAGTGACGATTGACATTGGACAGACCCATGCTGGGCATCGTTTAACACTTCGTTGCCTTAGCGGCGGGAGATTGCATGACATTGGCATTGGCATTGCCCGTTGCCCGTTGGCCAAGAGTCAGGTGAGAGGTGAGAGGTCAGGCCGGGCATCCCCTCCAGATGGCCAAAGACAGTCCACGCCACGGCACACCCGGAGTCCAGCGAATCGATCATATCCGGTGCGGTCTCTGTTGATGCAATAGAAATTCGCTGTGGATCAGTCAGTGCGCAGGGTGAAGCCCTATTCCACCACTTTCCCTCTCTGTGCCAGTTGTAAATTATTTTACATTTCTGCCGATTGCTCACTCTTAAGTGGAGGGGAGTGCACGGGGAGTACACAGTGCCAGGAATACTCTGAAAATAGAAAAATAGAAAAATATAAATATATATCACAGTGTAAGGAAGAACATTTAAACCAGAGGAGCCTGCCTTTCTTTCTTTCTTTCTTGCTAAATATATTCGCAAATTCGTTGTTTCCCTCTCTAGCGGAGCTACCCGATTTCAGCTACAGCTCTACAGAGATCCCCCCCGGATCGGCAGCAGCAGGAGGCGCTATCATTATCTGACACAAAAATTTAATATAAATTATGTTGACATGTTGGCTTAAATATGTACTGTATGCGCGGACCTTTTGGCTTTTGCCCTATCCGTTTTCCGTTTCTGTTTTGTGGATCTTCTGCTGCTTTGCTTACGATCGTATTCGTAATTGAGCCGACGATGCCGCGAACGATCGCCAGCGATCGCCAGCGATCGATCCGTTTCTGTCTCGGGGCCGACTAACTAGTTCAATAATTGCTGGTAAGACACGGCCAGAGCAAAACGAAGTCAGAGGGGAGACACGGCCGACAGCGACAGCGACTGTGGCAGTGGCACAGCCAGCGAAAATGAAGCGAAGATGAAGTCGTCATTAATATCGACTCGGCCTGTCAATAACTTGACATCGCATCATTTTTTCCACACTTCCTCTGAGGCGGCACGGCACTCTAGAGGCTGCCCAGAGGCGGCAAAAAACGTCCGAACTGAACTGAACCGAACCCAACCGAACCCAACAAAACCATTGCACACTGCACATTTACCGAACTTTTCGCGGACACTTTCGGGGAACAGTTTCGGCTGCGCCCCAGACCAAGGTCGAGCCGTTGTCATTACTCTCGACTCAACCCTCAACCTGAACCGCTGAGTCGCTGCTGCACTTTGCATAAGCCCCCCCGAATCACATTTCTGTGTCTGTGGCTGTGTCGGTGTCTGTGTCTGTGTCATTTCTGGTACGCCGAAAACGCTGGCTCACGATCGGGCCTGGGATCGTCACAAAGGGAAGATTAAAGAGCGGTGGCAACTACAAGACGATTTAAGTCAATATTTTAATGACTGATCTCTGGAAAGTCTAATGTTGGACTGCAATTGCAGGCGTTAAAGTTGCTTGGACCACTGGTGGCTTAAAGTGTCTTGGGGGACTGCCTCAATAACCACAATTTAATGCTCGTGGATTGCAACGCTGTTAGCTTTTGAGCATAAATAAAATTAAAGACGCGATGGAACGTGTGAGTCGCTTCTGTGAACGCGGCTCTACTTTTATACCCGTGCGCAGTCAGTATGTAAATTTCTAATCACAAGAAATGGAAGTGGAGAGAGATCAATTTAATATTTATTAATTTATTATTATTTTATTTTTCCCAGCGAAGCAATCCGCAGACTTGGCCGTTTACTTAGTTACTTATATGCAGAGAATCAGTTTTGAATAATTGATCAGAAATTCCCACTGAGCACTGATTGCCTAATCTATCATATAATAAATACAATAAATAAACTTGGCTTATTATCTTTCATCGTGCAGCTTTGCCGCTTATTAGAACAGCTTCTGAGAGACCTAAACTGAGATCTCTATTGTGGTTCATTGGCAATCGTTCTCGAAATGATAATGCTCGCCGATCAAATCAAAAGTCAACTGTCAATTGTTCATGGCCATCAAATTGCCGCCTGACGATCGTGTTCAGCTTGATGGAATGGGATTGGGAATGGGCATGGGCATGGGCATGGGGGAACGATATACGGATACGATGAAAGGCGAAAAGCCGCGCCCACTCTATGGTGTGCGAATGCCATCTGATTTATGTGCAGAGTGTCAGCGAAAAGGGCTCGACATCTAAGGTGCGCTTTTTGACGCCGCCAATTCTCTTTGGCCGCCGTATTGCCACTGATATTTATGGCACTGACACTGGCCAGGCCACGCCAGGCCAGGCCAGGCACCCGCGGAATGGGCAGCAGCATCAGCAATTTTTGATTAATTGTAATGCGAGAACTTTGATTAATTGCGGGCCAGCGCAACAGGCCCCAACAAAACAATTTGTTGTGGCATTGCATTAAATCAGACATCCCTGGGAGTGGAGAGGAGCGGCGAGGAGTGGCCAGGCCCATTGGCTCCTGTCCAGGCGTGAGATTGTACGAGTAGTAGGGCCAACACCTCATCGATACCAGGCACAAGGCGGTGTGCCTGGTGAGTTGTGTGCACGGTGTATTTTATGGATTCGTTTTTGGCTCGAAATTTATGAATGGTCCCATGGCTTTGGCCTCGACATCATCGTCATCCTCTCTTCGACTGAGGATTCCTGAGGCTGCTGCTGACGGTCCTTTGGCTTGATCTTTCGTCTGCTGGCAATTGCAATTATGCAAAAAGTTGTCAAATACAGGAGGCACGGGGGGCGTGTAAAAGCATGACTATCAACAAAATATAATCAAGCAACAACAACAACAACAACAGCAACAAAATTGCCCCAAAAAAAAATGTGTACCTGTTTTTGTATTTTCCGGCCAAAAGCTCTCAGCAATTTACATGTCTGCCCCTGCCCCTGCACAGTGCCCCCCGCCCCGCGGTGGCCAGCAAAACCAATCAACGCGTCTGTCAACTGGAAGCGGCAGTGGCTGTGGCTGTGGCAGTGGCAGCTCCTCGCTTATCGGTAGCCGTGCTGAAATCAGCTTCTGGCACTCACGATCACGACGCGCCAATCCACAGTGCAGCAACAGCAGCAAAAACCCGACTCTGCCACACCCCACTTAAACCTCCGACATCGGTGCTGTGGCACCAGCGTCGTCCGCCCAGGCTGAACTGCAACTGCAACTGCAGCTTCAGCCGCGATCTCTCGACCCTTTAGCGATCCATGCTCGTTGCTCCTGTCACAATTACAACAGCAAGTGCAGCGGCCTAATGACAACCACGGTGGCAGGCCCAGGCCTCGGGTCACAGTGGGACGCGACACGAAGAACAGCAAAAACGAAAAAAAAAAAACTCCCTTTTCGTGTGAATGAAAGATGGATATTTGAGTTTTTCCTCGTACACATATTTCTCACTATATTTCTGCTTCACTCAACCCTGGAATTGTAAAGTATTTTCATATCAATTCAAATTTATATTTATGCAGAAGTATTTACATATTTAATTTATATCAGAATACTACAAAAATACAATAATAAAATCGTATTAATAATATTTTTAGCACAATAAAAAATTAAAAATAAAAGAAAAACCGTATTAATAATATTTTTAGTACAATAAAAACTTAAAAAAAAAAAACCATTCTTGAAACTTTATTTATTTATTGTTTTTGATTTACCCTTTGCAGATCTTTGCATTGGCCCACTGTGCACAGCGATGGTCAGTTGACATGGAAACTTGATATTGCACACACACGAGTCGTGGCCCGAGCCTGAGCTGGGTCTGGGTCTGGATCTGGATCTGGGATTGGGATGCGGCCTGTCGTCATCGTCATCGTCTTGGGTCTGGGTCTTGGGGCCTCTTGGCGTGC